ACCTGAAATACGACAAATGAACACAACCTAGCGTAAAATAGGCCAAGGAAAGACCAATCACTTAGCTAAACGATCAAGAAATGAAGGGGAAAACATGTGCAAATACGGTGTTATCAAATTCCCCAACACTTAACCGTTTGCTTGTCCCCAAGCAAACCAAATCAGACACAAGGTAAGCTCAAATCATTTTAATCATGCAACCTTCGGGGACATATCATATAGGCACAAAACACGTGAATCATACTGGCTACTAGACAACGACACACGAACAACCGCAACAGCAACCTGGACAACCACCACAGAGAACATTCGAGGCAATCACCTCATGCATAAAACTCAAGACAGTCACCTCATGCATAAAACTTAAGACATCGGGTAAAGGAAGAGTCTCCCTTCTGTTCACCAACCAACATAGACTTGACTCAACCACTTATTCAAGACAGTCACCTCATGCATAAAACTCAAGACATCGGGTAAAGGAAGAGTCTCCCTTCTGTTCACCAACAACATAGACTTGACTCAACCACTTATTCAAGACAGTCACCTCATGCATAAAACTCAAGATATCAGATTCAAGATCGAGCAATCTAGGTCCTCACTGGGGTATATAATATGAAAATGGAATCACTCACTCTCGACCAGTGGGTTCGGGACAAAATTTGATGCAAGATGTGCATACTCGTACTCTCAATCCCTAACGTCTCTACACCATGACGACAACCTCTAAATGTTAGAGTTCACATATCGGGTGTCACCACTAACTAATCCGGAGGTCTTAGACACATGTTCAGATGACTGGCTAGGGTCTTGGACATGGGGAAAAGGCCTTTTAGGTGGTGGAAGTATTCATAACACAAGGTTCCATAGTTCCAAACCCAACACATTCACAGCCATTCAAACCACTTACTTTCTTTCTGTCATTCTGCATTACTCGAGTTCTTTAGAGCACAAGAGCGAAGGAGGTCACAATAATGCTAGTATTTCTAAGCCAGACTGCTAAGAAACACTACTTAATGAGCATGATTCAGATTTTTGGTAGTGGCTCTCTTTAGCTTTCATTCATTTTTTTTTTCATCCTCGAGAGAACCACCACCTCTGCACATTTTCCAAACAAATGCTCAACTTTTAAGAACTACCTCCAACACTCACATTGTTTTTAGCAGAAACAGTAGAGAACATGCAAAAACCACTATGTGGAACCTTCTAAGAGATGCAAAAGGGTGATTTTTCATTGTAGACCGAAAGAAAGTGACACGACTCAAAGGGGCTGACTAGGGGGTATGACACACCAGGAAAGTCATTTTGGTCGTGGGCTATTCCTGTGCCTCCATCATCTTAGCTAATGACAACGTGAATGCTACACATCATGGAAGAGGGATCTATCGCACAAGAAAGAAATGAGCAGGCTCAAATCTCACATGGCTACCTATATGCTCTATCTCCCATTCTGATTCCCTGAACTAGATGCATAGACAATTGTCAAGAACAAGTGATCAATCCAAGTCATAGTTGGTAAGCAAACAATTGAAAAACTGAACCCCTACACAACTCTACTGCACGTCTCAGTCATCATTATAGGTTGTCCTAGTCACAATCCAGTTGTCATGCCTCAACTCTAACAACCATTCGATTCTACAATTAAACCACAATGTCAATATGATCATGCAAACATCAGTACTTGGAGCCCTCAAATCTCGAGATTTGGACAGCGGGCTAGGCTCCAAGCACCATTATACGTTCCAATAAAGACAAAGCACCCCACACTTAAGTTCGACATTGCCCTCAATGGAGCAGAGGGAAGGGGAGCAATGTTACCAGGAAATGATGAGCGGGAACCGTGACTGGAAGGTAGACCAGTCAAGAGCAAGAGACTGGAAGTGGACCAGTCCAACTGGCACAAAGCTAGAGTCATGAAAATACACAAACTGGGTGAAAGAAACCATAGTTCCAAGTGGAAACAGAAAACAAATAAAATAAAAACAAACTGTGGTTGGTTTGCCTCCCCACAAGCTCTTCTTTACCGTCTTTTAGCTAGACGATGGCTCATAAGTTTCGGTCCACCCCAGAACCTCCTTGAAATTGAGGTTCTCATCGATGATGTGGAGTCTCAAGTCACAAGCAGGTGATGTGATAGGTGATGAAGATAGCTCGCGGCCTTGAGGAAGATGAAGTCTCCACTCTCGAGACCTCTCCTTCGCGTATACTCTTGTCTCATTGCCCCAAACCAGATAAGATATATTCGATTGACCACCATCACATCCACCAAAAGGGATCGATGTTGATGTGGTCTTGGTCTGGCAAAGAGACACTGCAAATGGGTCCTTGCCAAGCAGCTCCTCGAAGTTTGGTGGAGATATCACATGTAACATAGGGTCGGTGCCAGCCTCTTCCACCTCAACTTCATCCTCAGCCTGGACGCCAATTGCTTCCTCAACCCCCCTTCCTTCTTCAAAATGTGGTATCTCCCCTTGGAAAAGATCAAGAACTACCTCTTCTTTGCTTTCTTCCTCATCCTCCACAATTTCTTTCTTCACCCTTGCTCTCTCGTTTTCTTCCCGAATAGATTGGAGAGCAAGTCGCCAAGCAATTTCTTCAATGGGATAATCTTGCATCTCCTCGCACAGGCCCAACATGTTAGAGCATAAATGAGGAAAGGTGTGATCTGCCACCATAGGACTTTCCTGATCATGATTATCATGGGAGTTCTCTGTGATAACTTATGTATGCCCCTCAACGTCCTCGTAGCCTTCGTCATCCTCCACCTCTTCTAGTGTGGTAGCAGAAAGGTGATCTTGAGCAGCCTGTGCGTAAACTTGCTCCACCCACTCTGTTTGCTTCGCTAAGCACTGAACAACCTCCTCCATTTCATGGAGAAATGAGGGATCGGAAGGGGCAAGGGCTTGGATTTGAAGATCCATCTTGGAGCATGATCTCTCGGTGTCTAGAGCAAACTGCTCCACGAGAAACCTCAATTGTTTGTTAGGATCTTCCAGTGGAGTGTAGCATGGCTCTGCAGAGTGGCACGTGAAGGCCTCCATGGCTAACTCCAACTCTGATGGCCCCTCTGGTTGTGGCAGGAATTCTTCTTGAAAAGGATATTGTTCTTGAGGTTCCCAAGGGTTTGGTTGTTCTCTGTAGTAGGGGGTTGGTACTGACATCTGAATCCATTGTCTCCTCCTCCTTGATTGCTCCAGGAAATCTTGGGGTAATACCACACGGATGGTGGTTGATACCCCCAATGGTTGGAGAAACCATGAGGATCCATGTTTCAGATCTGCACCAACAAAAACATAACACCCAAGTGAAAAGAAAGGGTGGAAAAGAAAAGAAAAACGCTAAAATAACATACTTTCACGTTTCTACAATAACCTAGAAGTCCCCGGCAACGGCGCCAAAAACGTGACACGCTCGCTAAAACACAAAACCAAATTGCGACCAAGTGTAATCGCTGTCCGGAAATGCAGAATAATGACAAGTTCAATTTATCAACCCCGGGTCTAGATCTACTGCCTACTCCGTGACTACCTGTTATCTAGCGAGACTAAGTTGAGTGAATGTGATTTTAAGCTAAAGCAGTAAGAAAGCAGGAAATGGTTCGAAGTTCACAAGCAAGGGAAGAGTCACTCGGGAATGAGTCCCCCTAGCTCCTTAGTTAGGTCAACGTTGTAATTACCTTTGATTGATTTACTATTGATTAAACTGCGGAATATCCGACAGTAGCTTAGAATCTCTTAAGCTAACCAAGCCCTCTCAGACAGACTACCCGGCAGGCGACTAGTCTTCACCGGGATAGAACGTTGAGACAATTAACACAAGACTCCACTACTGGAATTGGATTCCAGTACAAAGCAGTGAATCAACTAACTATCGTATAATCGATTCACTACTACCGATTGAATAAGCTCTAACAATCTAATCAGATTCTAACTATCTCAGGTTGCAGCAGAAATCAAGAAAAGATGATCAGACTGGACTTGTGTATGGCGGCTGGTTACAGTTTTTTACCCTTTTCTTTTTCTTCATTGGGAGAGTTGGATACAGACGCCATGGCTTTGCTCAAGAGGATCCATAAATTCTCCATGTATCAGGATGCAGGGGCTCGGACGGCCGCGTACATTTTTACTAGACTTAATTTTTCTATAGCTAAGAGAGTGGGGCCAGATTGTATCTCGACTACCCACTAACTTTTTGTAAACATTTGTTTGTTCGGCTTAAAATACTATTTTTTTTGGAATGATAACAAAACCAAACCGAAAATAATAATAATAATAATAATAATAATAATAATAATAATAAGGGGTCGTTTGCTTGTTGGATTTAGGTCATGGATTTGGTACCCAAATCTGAAGTTTGATGGATTTAACATAAGTCCATTGTTTGTTGAAGGGCGCTAAATCCGTGGGGTCCACGGATTTGGTCTTTACTTTGGAACCAAATCCGTGGACCCCACGGACTTGTAAATCCCACATATTGATTTGGGATTTGCAAATCCTTGATGGTTAGTTATTTATTTAACAAATTCATCATCAAATCTATCATACAAACATTAGACTCTTCAAATCCATAATCCAATAAATCCAACATAAATCCAAAGGTTTTTATTGGCCAAAACCTTCATTTTTCAAATCCAACAAGCAAACGAGCCCTAAGTCTACCTGCCAACGACATCGGGCAGGGACTTTAAGGGGTCGTTTGGAGAATATGAGTTTAAATCTACAGATTGTCAACAATCTAACGATTCTAACTCTCTAGATTGTTGAAAACAGATTTTAAAATGTTTATTGTTTGGTAACTGTGATTGTTAACATTCAATTAAAATTTTAATTTTATATTAAATAAAAATTTTATCCTAAATAAAAAAATTAGAGTGGTTCAATAAATATTAAAAAATTTGTTGATAAATATATTTCATGTGATAAATAAATAAAAGTAAGAGAAAAACTAGTAGAAAAGAAATCTCACGAATCAAGATATACAATCTCTCTGATTATGAGAGATTTGATATCCGCAGATTTTAGAGATTTGAAATCTCTAAAGCTAGAATCCACAGTACAAAAAGCAACAAAAAAACATAACTTTCTACAAAATCTATGAATTCAGTGAATCTATGTCCTGAATCATGTTTTCCAAACCAACCCTAAGCTAGTTGTAGACGAAAGGGAAAAGAAAAGAGGGTTCAGAACGCAGGCCGGAATACGAGCTGTCTCTGTGGTTCGCCGCCACTTACTTCCCGCTTAAACTTTAGTTTTTCGAGATTTCGAACTTTCCGTTGCTTTCTAGGGTTTTTTCCCCTCCTGGTTCGGAAAGCTCGGCGGCGGAAATATGGACGTCGAAATGGAAACTTCGCCTGGTTACTTCCGGCCGGAAGATCTTACTATCAGAGAACAGTTTCGTCGCTACGGGTACTCTCGCTGAACCTCTCATCTTCCTTTTCGGTCGTGAATGTAGATGGTAAAATTCATAGCGAAGCTTCTTGTTTTGTTGTCGTGAAGAGAATTTAACTCTGAATCGCGTTTGATTGAGAATGAACCGTGAATTCTTGTATGTTTGTGACCTTTCTGTATCTTCGTACGTTGTTGATTTTCTGAGAATGCGTGCTGCCTGCAGTAAAAGGCACTCGGTAGCTAGCCCAAGTCAAGACAGTACGAACTCTAAGTTCAAGGACTCAAGGCTACTGTATGATGGGCAAAGCATACACAGTCCCACAAATGCTGTGCTTCTGCTCGAGGACATTAAACAAGAGGCTGATGGTACGGGTTCTGATCACTTTGATGCCACACCTAGGAGGTTTCAAGCTTCGGGTAAAAGGAGGATGGTGATTGATGGATTTTCAGAGAGTGATCTCATTATCAATCCAGAACTCCAGACTGGGACTCAATCGCTTAAAGCATGCAAGATGGAGGATGAATCAGCTGACAGTGGAGAAGCGGTACTTGGGCTATTTGCATCTCTTTTGGATTCTGCTGTTCAAGGTGCCTTCACTTCAGTTTATGTTATACCTGCGAAGCTTAGGAATAGGGTACCTGGTTGTTTGGCTAGTGTTTGTTCTACAGTGGGACAATTTGGGAGAAATTTTCAAGATTTGAGAGTGTATTGTATAGTAGAACAGTGTTTTGCTTGGGTTGTGATGTGAAGACTTCCCACTTGTCCTTTTTAGAATGCTTGTTGTCTGTGTTTTGGTAATGGAAGTCGGTCTGGTACCAGAATGTACTGCCTCATTAAGGACAAGTTACCTTTGTGCCTTCTCAGTCCTCTAACCTTTTAAGGACAAGTTACCTTGTTGTCTGCATTTTATTCAATGTGATACTGGTTGGACTGCTTTTAGAGTGGTAGTTCTTTGGAAGGTTGTAGCATATATTCTTAGGTCTTGAGAATTTTCTTGAACTGTAGACACTAGTATTGTATAAATCAATCTAGTGGTGCCGAGTCTGTTACTACTTTGACTGATGGAAAGTGATAATTTCCCCATATTTTGCAGGCTTGATGCCAATTCCAGATTTGATTTTGAGATTTGAGAGATCATGCCGTAGTGTATCAGAAGATATAAGGTGAGTCGCATAACATCTGGAATAGTTACATGGCTTGACCTTGGTTTGTCAGTCTTTGTAATGCAGACTATTGCAAGTGAAAACTATTATTCTCCAGATTGTCCCTCTCTGTCTTTATGATTTTAATAAGTAAGATCAATAGTTTGATTTTACTTCATCACCAGGGTTCCTTGTTAATTGTTATTGCTTGTACAGGTCCCAATCAACCATAAGGCATCGAGTTCTAGAGGACAAATTAATGCGGCAGAAGGTTCAGCTCCTGCTTGATGAGGCTGGCACCTGGTCTCTTCTCTGGCACCTCTATGGGAAACGTGAGTTTGTTAGTTTTGAAAGTTTTCCTGTTTGCAGCATATTTTTCGAGTGAGGGTTTGATAGAAATATCATTACTGTCTCTGCATCCTTGGGTTTAAATTATTAAATGTATGCTAGTATTAATGTGGTGAGCATAGTGTTAATAGTAGAAACGTGCGTGCCCCATTATATGTCAAACTTCAATTAGTTGCCAAAGGAGTGGAACTTAATGGTGGATAATGTTTTGATATTGTGTTTTTTTTGCTGTTAAGTAGCCTTAAATCGACTTTAGAGAAACTTCTTTTCTAAATTCCTGCAGATTTATCATTTTATACCTAGCCACAGGTCCTACTCTGGTATTGTGCTATCCTTCCTAGATTCTTCTTGAACATAGAGGACCTATTGCCAATCTTTCTATTTGTCTTTCTGCACCTCTCATGTTCATTTGATTCATGAATATAATTCTATTTGTTTCTGTCTGATCTTGATTGTCTGTGGATAATGACATTCTGAACTCTTACTATCAATATCTGATGGTTATGGTCCATGAACCTTGTCATGTGGGCTGTGGTTGATATAATCTGTTACACTTCTTACAGCGACGGAAGAACCTCCTGAAGACCTACTTGTGGTACACAATTTCTTCCCTGGAACCATTCTGAAAGAAGACATTAAGGCTGCTTTTCTGAAATTTCAGCTCATTCACTCTGACCACTAAAACCACCAATCCAGAATGGGTGTTCACTACTTTGTCTTTGTAAATTATTTGGAGGTTTCCGCTTATACTACCCAAAGGCTGCGTAATCTCATGGAGCTTTATTTTTGTTTTTGACAGTCTCCATCAACTTCACATATAGAGGCGTGCCAGTTTGTTGTAAATGATCACACAACACAACTTTGCCTCCGTATCATTGAGTGGCTGGAGGGGTTAGCTTCTAAATCCCTTGATCTTGAAAGCAAGGTGATTCCTAAGTTCATTGCATTTTCATTTTGCGTCCTTGTAGAGTTTCTAGTTGGCTCCTCCTTGTAGGTTAGCTTTCCTGTTCTTCAGCCATGCATGGAGCAACATTTCTTACTGAACCTTGCTGGCACCGTTTGAGGAAGTTGTTTTTATCCTGATATTTAGCATTTAGGTGATGGTTGTTTAACACGGGACAGAAGGAACATCCTGGCTTCAACATCTTATTACTTTTTATCCACTGTGTATACTTGTTTACAAACCGCATAAGCTCTGGTTTCCAAGGAAAGTTAGTATCCATCAAAATGTAGGCTCAGCACTCTTTTGAAGGCCTTTAGCTACGGAGAAGATGGGTGGATTTTGTTGTCCCCCCTCCCCCTCTCCTTCATGATATTCTAGCTACTTCTGACATTTGATTGAATTTTCTGAGTTTGTGAATTCTATTTGAAATGGATATTGACCAACAATCACAGGTACGAGAACCTCGTGTGGGTACATATCTTCCGAATTCTGGAATTTGGCACAATACACAACGGTTGCTGAAGAAAGGCGCATCTGGTGTAAATACTGTTCATCACTTGGATTTTGATGCACCAACTCGTGAACATTCTCACCATCTACCAGATGATCAGGTACCATGTCTTTGTTCTCCGCTATAGGAATTCATGGTAAACATTATTTTTTCAATCAACGAATGAATCTTATATTAAATGTTGTTCTGTGCCTTGGGCTGTGTATTTAAACTAGCCATGGGTATATTAGTTTGTATCCTATTAATTTATGTGTTGGACTTGATTCAAATATGGATAATTTAGAAGGTTCTAGTCGAATTACTAAGAAAAAACATGATAGTGTTTCATTCCCTTAAAGCGACAACAATTATCTTCCTGAACAGAAACAAGAGGAATGTCTTTTGGAGGACGTATGGACGTTGTTAAGAGCGGGAAGAGTAGAAGAGGCATGCGATCTTTGCCGTTCTGCTGGGCAGGTATTCAACACCAGTACAGCTTTTCATCAATTTTTCAGAATAAAAGAAACTTTACTAGTTTTTCTAAGCAAATTGAGTCTTTCTTTTGCTTCTGGTATCAGTCATGGAGAGCTGCAAGTTTAAGTCCTTTTGGAGGATTGAGTATGGTTCCTTCTATTGGGGCTCTTGTGAAGAATGGGAAAAGTAGAACCCTCCAAGCCATTGAGCTTGAAAGTGGCATTGGTCATCAATGGCGTCTTTGGAAATGGGCTGCGTATTGTGCATCAGAGGTATTCCTACTTGGAACTTATTTTGGACGTTTGAGTTATCAAACTTAGCCATTTTGGGTATGCAGTTCTGTCATTTGTTCTATCCTCAAACATTGCTAGTTACTTTTCCTCTTAGACAATTTTCAGTTTGTTGTTGGAAGTTATATCAGATAGCTAATAGTTTGTACTCTGCCGTCAGAACTGCACATCATAGTTCCATGTTTATTTCACATGAGCTTCACCTGTTAAGAAAAGTGGGATTCTTAATTATACTAATCTACATCAAGCGTCTTTTATTACATCCTTCCTCATTGTACTTGGGGATAGCTGATAAGATTGGGTTGAATTTGACTTGTTCTATTTTCTCTGTTTATTTTGTAGAAAATTGCAGAGCAGAATGGTGGCAAATATGAAGCAGGCGTGTATGCAGCACAGTGTAGCAACTTAAAACGGATGCTTCCAATTTGTACTGACTGGGAGGTGAAGGCTCTTTTCTTTTTATATCCTGATTTTAAGTTTGTTCATTAGTTATCCATATCCCCCCCTGTACAATTTGGTTGATTTACTTTAGTTGTTTACTTGCCTGTGCTGTGATGGCATTAGTTTAGAGAAAATTTAATAGTATATTGTTCTCTTCTTCGATGGTAATCATCATACTTAGTGCAAGCTATCTGGTTCTTACTTTTGTTCACTGGTACCTAGAGTATCTCCTTGGTTTCTATTATTTGGTCAGTTGCGGAATTAAAATAGTGGTTTTGGCTTCTTTTTTTCTCCTGTCATTGAGATAATATCTAAATGTCTAATGCTGCGACTGGGTTTGAATCTCGATCAAGGACTGGATCCGCCTGAGCTCCTTTTATTTAATTATATTGCCCTATTTACTTTTAGTAATGGAATTTTTTTAATTTCACTTCATATCTTGCAGTCAGCTTGCTGGGCAATGGCCAAGTCTTGGCTTGATGTTCAGGTTGATCTGGAGTTATCTGGCTTACAACCTAGGAGGGTTGAGCAGCTTAAGAGTCATGGAGATGATGCTGAGGGAAGTCCTGTGCCAAATGACAATGGCCCTCATGCTTCAGGTGGACCAGATAGCTGGCCACTACAGGTCAAGAATCAGCAATCAAGGAATCTTTCATCTCTTCTTCAAAAACTCCATTCCGGGTGGCTCCTTCATTAACTATTTTGATATTTCAAATAATTGTTATTTATTTTATTCTTGAAAGTGTCAACTGCTCAAACTTTGCACTACTCAGGGAACTGGTTAATGAAGCTGTTATTAGAGGTTGCAAGGAACAGCAGCGGCAAATTCAGGTGCTCTTTTTGAGAAACAACTTTGTGATTATGCATGAATTTGGACCATTAAGAGAAAACAATGAACCTTAAGAGTTAAGGTTATCAAAATATAACAAACTATATTTGTGCTACGATAAATTAACACTCCATGTAGATTACTTGTATAGGTGGTCTTAAGGTGAGTAAGGTTGTCTATGTTAACGATGTACATTAGAAACTAGAAAGAAAGCTCTTTAACTTAATAAATAATTAATTTATCGAGTACTTTTAACTACCATAAATTAATAATTTTCACGGTCCCGACTATTAATTTATGAGGTTTTACTTGCTTAGTTTTCTGAATTAGAGTGCGGTCTTTTTAGTTTCTGTAGAAGCTTTTTTCTGTTTTTTCTAATGATATAGTACTTTGCAGATGAATATGATGCTGGGGAACATACCACACCTACTTGACATGATATGGTCGTGGATAGCACCTTCTGAAGATGACGAGAATGTCTTCAGGTCAGGTGTTTCAGAAAGCAGGATAATTCAGTGAAACCTTCCTTTTTCTAGATCTTTAACATCCTCTTATTAACTCCAGTTCGTTGCCAATGTGATTTAACAGGCCTCATGGTGATCCTCAGTTGATACGGTTTGGTGCTCACCTAGTGCTTGTACTTAGGTATTTACTTGCTGAGGAAATGAAGGATTCCTTCAGAGAGAAGCTAATGAACGCCGGTGGTCTTATTCTACATATGTAAGATTTTGGGCTATGAGTTATTACTTATTTGCTGTGTACATTGGATGGATATATGATACCCATCAGATTAAGTAATGTGTGTCACTTGGGATTCGATTTATTTTAGAAGCCTGAATATACAATGGACTGAGAGCATAGAGAGACTAGATTATATCCGTGCTGCCAGACATGACCATTTGTGGCATAGTCTTGAATAGTCTGTTTAAGGCCACTTTATTTAACTTGTATTTCTCGTAGTGAACATTTGTGCATAGTCTTGGACTAGTCTCTGTAAGGCTACTTTATGTTAACGTCTGGCTGTGTTCAAGTTGAAAATGTCATTTGAGATGTTAAACAAAGCTGTCCTGCTTATCTTCTCTTTGTACCCTCCTTCCAGGTATGTCATGTTTCTGTTCTCCAAGCAACACGAGGAGTTGGTTGGCATTTATGCTTCTCAGCTTGCACGCCATCTTTGCATTGATCTCTTTGTGCACATGATGGAACTAAGGCTAACCAGCAGGTAGATTTGACTTCTTACTTACACTACAATGCATTATTTTTGTGTGGTCACGAATTCTCTGGCTTGTTGCGGACTGGCTTGCTTTGATATTTATGTCTGAAACGTATATGGCACTAGCTTAATTGGGACACAATGAAGTGAGCAACGGGAAAGAGTTCTTATTGGCTTTTTCAGGAGATTTAGTCTTGCAATAGGAGATATGGTGATTACCCCTTTTTGGCGAGTGGTCATTTCGATCTGGAGATTCTGTTCTAACACACCGCCTCCTTTTCCTGGCATACAGTGTGCATGTGAAGTATAAGTTTTTTCTTGCTGCTATGGAGTACTTACAATTTACTCCATTAGATGATTCCAAAGGTTAGTTTTGAAGAGATAATAGAAAGGTACGTACTAGTTGCCATGCATCTTTTGTCGTCTGTATGAAGGCAGACAGAAAATCATATGCTTAACAACTTATTAATTATCACAAACTATTCTAACAGGGTTCTTTCAAGATCTCGTGAAATCAAAATTGGAAAGTATGATAAGTCAGCAGAAGTGGCGGAGCAGCACAGGTTGCAGAGCCTTCAAAAAGCTACGGTTATCCAATGGCTGTGCTTTACTCCCCCATCAACCATTAACGATGTCAAGTACATTGGCGGGAAACTTCTTACGCGGGCATTGATACACAGGTGATTGATCCGAATTTTCAGCCAAGTTGCATGTTGCTGTTTATCTATGGTTAATGTATTTCATGGTATGACTGGTAATGTGGGTAAATCTATTCCAAAAGGAGCGAAGAAGGATCTTTCTTTCAGAAATTGTCGCAAATAGATGCTGTGTTCAGTGGTTTATCCTCTTATTACTGGATGCATATTAGTTGAGAAATTTGTCCTAGGAAATCTTGGGTTCCTCCTTGGATGAAAGAACCAGTTGGAACAGAAAGAGATATTTATCAGTGTTCTGGTTCATTCCTTTTGTACTTCCAAAATTTAACCATGAACAGTTTTTTTTTTACTCTGCAGCAACATGCTCTTCAGGGAATTTGCACTGATTTCTATGTGGAGAGTACCTGCAATGCCGATAGGTGCACATGCATTGCTTAGTTTACTTGCTGAGCCTCTAAAGCGTCTCTCTGAGTTTCCAGCGGACTTCGAGGATAACATTTCTGAGAACCTAAAAGAGTTCAACGACTGGGTACTTTACATTGTTAAAATTTGTGTATTCTTTGTGCAATCTGGTTAGTATTCTAATTTGGTTAGTGTTCTTATGCAATTTGTTGTAAAAGAGCGAGTACTATTCATGTGATGCAACATATCGCAAATGGCTCAAAGTTGAAATTGAAAATGCGGAGGTACCTGCCACCGAGCTTTCTGTGGAAGAAAAACAGAGAGCCATTTCAGCAGCAAGAGAGGCGCTCGATTGTTCTCTGTCTCTACTACTAAGTATGGTAGTTCCATTGAACCTTTTTTACGTGTGAGTACTGCCCCCAAAGTGATTGTAATGTTGTAATGCTTTCAATCATTCGCGCAGGAAAAGAAAATTCTTGGTTAGCTTCTGTAGAAGATCATCTATTTGAATCAGAAGCTCCCGTGTACCTTGAGTTGCAGGCCACTGCAATGCTCTGCCTGCCTTCCGGTGAATGTATGTGCCCAGATGCTACCGTTTGCACTGCATTGATGAGTGCTCTTTACTCTTCTTTGGGCGAGGATTTTGTGCTTCATCGTCAACTAATGGTATGGATAATTGCTCTCTTTCCTCATCATGATAACCCAATAATACTGTGGCTTATGCCACTGAAATGAGTGAGATTGTTTTGAAAAACTTTGTAACTCCAAGAATGTGGGTCAAGTTTTTGAAAAACTGTTTGATATCTGGCGGGTAACATTTGTCCTAAAAATGGCAGGTGTGCCTTAGTACAACTGTTTTACTCAACAGACTGATGAACTGATATTAGACTAACAACAGTCAGCTCTAAAGATTTGCCCCTTAGTTCACACGAGCTATCCTAATCATTGTTATCTGGCCTTTGTGATTGACAGGTAAATGTTTCCATTTCGGGGAGGGACAATTATTGTATCGAGGTTATTCTGCGGTGTTTGGCCGTTGAGGGCGATGGACTTGGGCCACTCCAGGCTAACGATGGTGGTGTTCTAGCTACCGTTATGGCAGCTGGTTTCAAAGGTAATCAACTCCTTTCCATTTTTTTTCCCTTTAGTTTTACGCTACTGAAGTTATGTTATGAACTTGTGAGGTGGGGAGTTAAAGTTGATTGAGCTCGTCTCCTCCGAGGAAACTGGGTTCGTCCATCTTTTTAGCCAGCAACAGCTGCAGGTGAGTGAACACTTTTTTATTTGTAAACAAGGGAAGAAATTGCATCTTGATGCTAGACAATATAGAACTAGGAACAAATTCGTATTGGAGTTTCTTAAACTGAATTGAGTTTTGATTCTCCATGGTTCTCATGCTCTTTGTCGATGTTCCAGAAAATCAACCTGAAACAGATTGTTTGTGACCTCAGAACATCTGATTTTTTTTTTCTTTTTCCCGTAACTTCATTGTACGTACCCTTCTTTTCTTTTAAGCTGACAAGAATTTTGTGATTTGTTGCGTCAGGAATTCCTCTTGTTCGAGAGGGAATACTCCATCAGCCAAATGGAGCTGCAGGAGGAACTCTCATCTTGATGACCTGATCTTCATTCACCTTTCTCTTGTATGTCCTGTCTACTTGCTTTAGCTTCCCGCCTAAACATATTGAGGGTTCTAACCAAATGATAGATACTTCCATGCTTTGATGATCCATCGTGGTCTGTTTTCTGCTTTGTTCAAGTTTCTCCACTGAATGGAAATTGCTGCCATTTTAACTGAAGTGTTCTTCCCATTGTACATAGGAAATGGAAGCTGATGGTTTTCTAGTTTTAGATTCGTCTGATGGTACATCGATTTTGTTCGTTTCTTGTATGCAATTCCAGCTCTCTGGGGGTTCCTTGTGGTGAACAAAAGAAAGAATGTGTTCTTGTAATGGCAAATGGAGGAGTTTGTGGTAATAGTTGAATGGGTATATGCTGTTGTAGTGTAGTATTTTTGTACTGATTGCAGCTGCTAGCAGTAATTAAAACCTCGGCAAATTCTCATGATCTTTTTCACTATTTGCAAGCTTTAGGTTTTTACTTTTTGCTTAAATAACGTGCTAGTAAAACTAGTTTATTTAAAGTAAAATTTACAACTTCACCAATTAATCCTAAAATTAATTCTAACTAAACTGGATTGCGAAGTGCAAACGTTATTTTTTATCTTATCTCGTGAATCCCTAAAACACCTAGCGCCACAATCTAATGCACATAATGGCCACAAGAAAATCTTTCTTCCCCAAATCAACCTCTCTCCTGTTACTTCACATGCCACAGCAATACAAGCAGAGAGCTTGTTTAGGCTGATAAAAATGAAATTAAATTACCACAACAATACAAATTAGGGTTGTGTTGAAGAGAGGACTTTGCCGCATTTTTTTACTCTTAACTTTCTCTCAAAATGACACCGTTTTGACGTTGTTCGAGCTGTTCGATATGATAAAACCGACCGAAATACTACTGTACATAGTTCAACCTCTAAAATTTGGTCAACACAGTTTTTTACCATTGTTATTTGTACTGTTCCGAATTTGGCTTCAGTACGAATATTTTGCGACTCAAATACCAATACGGTACTACTAGATTCGAACCCGGCCCGTTGGCCGGAGGCATTAATTCAAACATATTAGCAATAATTGTTATTGTACGAAGCAAGATATATTTTTATTGGTACAAAAAATTTAAATATTCGAACTACTCAATTAATGAAAAAAATAAAAAAGGAACATACATCATAACGTTTTTTATATGCTAACCGTTCATCAATAAAAGTACCATACCCGTTGGCAAGATGCATTATTTCAAACACTTAAGCCACAATTGTAATTGTACGAAACAAGATATATTTTATTGATATAAAAAGTCAAAAGATTTGAACTATTCAATTATTGAAAAAATAAAAAAGGACTTACATGATAGATTTTTCTGATATGCTAACCGGTTTATCAACTGCAGTGAGCCAGTGACCAATGACCATAGAAGCGGCTTACTGAAAATATAACATAGAACACATGGAAATGAACTAACTATTAAAAAAATTTATCAAACTACACTTCGATCTACTTCGTGTTGTAAGAAATTGTTGTTATTGTTCTTTAAGACTTCTTTGCTATTGCTTCACCACATGTATCATCATCTCTGACAACAATTGTAGTTTCAAATTCATCATTGAAGCCTCTCTGTCTAGCATCAATAGTCTATCTCTTCTGCTCAACAATGTCACTACTTACTATCACTGTTTTCGAATTCATTACTCCACCATCAATAGACTTTCTTCTTCACCTTCATTTCATCAAATTTTAATTAAAGATTCTTAATTGGGGTAGCTACTAACCCAAGAGTTTAAAATCCCACACATTTATTTTCAAACTAAAGGTTAAAATATTTTATTTGGGCATATTTACTATCAATGAGTAAAAATAGTTAGAGATAAGCATGACCGAACATTGGTGAATTTATGAAAATATAATGGGTAGAAAATTTAGGAAAACTTGAATTTTTTTATAGGATTCATCATAAAAAAGCTCCACAGCAGAAACGACAAAAATATCCTTCCTACAAACTCTCATAAGGCTGGAAATTTTGAATATAGTATGTTTTGATGGAGAATCTCCATATAATAATGGTAGGATAGGAGGAGGTAGGATTTTTTAATCCTTAGGCCTTGTTTAGTATAGTTTTTAACTGGTTGTGTTTTATCAAGGTTTTGTCAACAGAAAAGCAACAACAACACCAACACAACTGAAATCAACAACGCGTTCATCTCACAAAATTGACAAATTATGAAACACAAAATATCAAAAGAAAAACTTGTTTACTTCTGCTGTTTTCGTTGATTTGAAGAGTTAAAAAAAATCAGGATCTTGAAATCTTGTTCGTCCTCTGCTGCTTCTGTTCTTGGCAAAAAACAAGCAAATGTAAGTGGCGGCCGTCCTCGGCTATTCCTATTCTTGAGGTGAACTTGTCGATCCGGAATGGGGAATCTGCCGCCCGACCCTGGAGAAGAAGCCACCGCCCGACCTTGAAGCTAAAGAAGCCGCTTCTACTGCCCCACAAGCCCCTGAAATGAAGTCGTCTCGATTTCCCCTGTCTCACCAATCACCATTGCAGCAAAGAGAGAAAAAGAAGGGGATTAGGAGTGGGATCTGAATTAGAAAGAAAAAGGAAGGGGATTTCGAGTGAGATATGAATTGGAAAGAAAAAGACGGAGATTTATCCTACCGCCGGTGAATTCGAGTTTGGCGGCGGAAGGATGATAGAGGTCTAAAGCATCAGCGGAATGATGAGAGAGAGCTGCAGAGGCGGCAAGTCTGAGATGATAGAGGGGAGGCCACAAGCGATGGGTCGTGAAATGGAGGAGAAGAAGAAGAAGAAAGGGCGCCGCTAGGAAAGAGAGAGAAAAAAAAGCATTTAAAGAAACCTATAAAAAAACCCGTGTGCAACAGATAGGGGATAGTTCGATTTTACTCGCTTCATCAAATTTATGAGATCAATTAAGCATGTTCCGTCAAAGATTGCTAATGCATTTTCCTTTTCTTTGTTGTGGTTTTTGTGGTACCTCGATACTGGTCATCCGGCATACTTCGTCGAAGGAAACTACACTCGCTGGCGGGACTATCTTGGAGACATTGGGGTTTTATTTTTGTTTTTTCCCCGTCAGTGTCGTGTCTTTGCTCCTTGGAGCTTCTTCAGAGCTGCCCAAGTAGTGGCTTAACAAGCTCTTTCATCGTAGTCTGGTTGCATACGGACTATCGTAGTCGGTCTTGTAAATTGTAATCGTGTCGAGTCTTTGTCCCATGCCCTTTGGGCTTGCCTTGAAAAAAAAAACAGATAGGGGAAACACATCCAAAGCAATCTTTTGTTGTTTCTTTAATTTTGGTCTAGTTGCGTAAATCTGTTTCACAACAAAAATTATAAACTCAACTAAACATGTTTTTTTTTCTCTTGGTTTCTACAATTTAAAAAAACACAACAGAAACAAACAACAATACTAGACGGGGCCTTAGTTTCTACCAAGGTTGTCAAACCGGTTTAGCAAGTGAAATGGTTTGACCGGTGGCACATACCGGTTTGTGCCGGTTCATGCCGGTCAATATTACAAATAAAATTATAAATACTCATATTTAAACATGACATTTAAGTCAATACCTAAACATTTATACTTGAATCCAACAAATAACATCAATATTTAACCTTTATACCCATAAAATAAATAATTAAATTATTTTTATCAATTAAATTCACTAAAATAAAGTCATTTTACTTAGAGATTCGTATATCGATCATGCCGGTCATACCAATGATGTCACGCCGGTTTTATGATCGGTATCGGTTGAACAGGTACAACCGGTGGCACGCCGGCCGGCGTGACAACCATGGTTTCTACCCTGTTGTTGGCATGCCTGATTGTCAGCCTGACCCAACTTTTTCTACAAGCCCATGGCCCAAATCTTGTTATATAAAACCCAAGGCCCGCTCGGCGTATAGCATATCTCATCACGGTAGTCGCCTAGTCGGAACTCGTCAGAAAGAAGTCACAAGCTATAACTTGCCTCCGTCTGTTCAGCTCTGTCTTCCTTCAGTTTCTTTCAACCGTTCTTCAAAATTTTCTCGGCGTCCAAACTGCTTACTGCGAACCTCAATTTCTTTCCTATCCATCTCTAGCTGAGTAGCTGTATACAGATGTTAGAGGAGAGCACAATACAAACGAAGAATTGAATTGGATAGTAGTACTAGTATTACTATCTGTGTAGTAGTTCACTTCACTTCACCATCTCCCCCCGCGATTCTCATTTCAACTTTCCCGCGATCAATGACGCTCGGATGAAGCCTCCATTCTGAGTCTTCAATGGGTGTCTCGTTTAAGGTCTCGAGGAAAGGTTCTAGGTTCCGTCCCAAGCCTGTGATTCAGCCAGAAGAAGTTGCTCTTAATAAGGCATCAGGAAATTCCAAGGAGGCCTCGCTGATTGGCGCCCGAAATCCGTCGTCAAAGAGAAGGATTGTGGTAATTTTCATGTTTTTAATCCGCTTTAATGGCGAATGAACTGGACTTGGGAGGAGGGAGGGAGGAACTGAATTCTGATTGGTGTGCATTTTTGCTCTTGCTTTAATTGAAGCTACTACTGGTTCTCGGCTTGAGCTTATTTATTGTGTGGGGAAACGGGATGTCTTCTGATTTCTTCGATGGATATTTCTGCTTAGGATTGAACTTTGTTTTTAAAGGAATTGGGGGAATGAATATCCAAATTCTAGATGTGATCGGTCTCTTTTACTTACATGTGGGGAGTTCTGTCAAATTCTTGTAGTCAAGGTGTTTGGTTAAAAATGGCTAGGGGATGTTTGGAGCTCTAGGGATTTCCCGTGTTTGTGTTTGTGCTAGTGTATGTGTGCTCTCCACCGGTATGGGCTGTAGTGCTGGGAAGTCAGGGATACATACATTTTCTCAAACAGAGCAATGTTTTCTGATTTTTTTCAGTTTTCAGTCCTTTTTGGTTTTCTCATGTAGATAAACAGGCACCTCGAGTTCTTATTTGTCCTTAATGATAGTTACTTTTGTATGGTATAGGACACTAAGGATGTAGCTGGCATCTCAAGTACACCGATCTCTGGTAAATGATTTTTTTGCGCTAGCCCCTTGGTTCTATTGATTTTCAGCTGGACTGGATGTTGCTGCTATTCATTTTATCTGAATGGTTGCTGCTGTTTCATGTTTTCTCCAGAGGATGAAGTTGCCTTCACGTTGGACCTCTATCCAGATGGATATTCCATTGGAAAAGCCCCAGAGGTGTGTTAATTAAACTGTCACTATATTCCTCAGATTTTTAAGAGCTATATCTTTCTTTTGTTTGATTTTGCTTACATTAGCCTCTGAATTTTCAGAATGATGCTGCGCGCAGGCGTCCCCTTCAAGATGCTTCAAAAGTGCTGCACCCATATGATAGGGCCTCTGAAACTATATTCTCGGTAAAGGACACCTCATTCTTGTTTCTTTTCAACTACATTGATTTTCTGTTATATATCTGGGTCATCTTGGAATCCAATTTTCTATCTGTGGACATGTCTCTCGTTAAGTAGGCTTTCCTTTCAGTGGAAAGATCAATTTGGGACATCGACTCAATCTAGTGCTCTTTTTAAAGTTTGTTAGAATTTGTATTGTTTGCTTGTGTATTCCTTTGGTAAAACCCATTTCACCTTTGCTAGTTTAGGCAACATGGCAAGTGATCCATTGCCAGTATACTCATATGGTTCTCATTATGTATTTTTTAAAGTTCCCCACCTTTATGTCTCTCTCAATTTACTGAGTTTCTTGTTTTCCAATATATGAACTTGCAGGCAATTGAGTCTGGCCGGTTGCCTGGAGATATTCTGGATGATATACCATGCAAGTACACCAATGGAACTCTTGTATGTGAGGTGAGTGTGTTTCCTAGGTATGTTAAGTCTGTTCCAACATTCATGTACATACCATGTAATGAAAAGGCGTAATTAGTTGATATATCACTGAGTGTTTCCAGAATGGTGACATGTTCTGCAGGTGCGAGATTATCGAAGCTGTGCTACTGAGCAAGGTTCTGGTATGCCATCTCTCAGCGGAGCTCCTACTATGAATAAAGTGCGCCTTAAGATGTCATTGGAAAATGTGGTGAAGGATATCCCGCTGATTTCAGATAACTCCTGGAACTACGGTGATCTGATGGTAATGCTAAAGTCTTATTCTTCATACTTCCTGTAATATATCTGCATCCATCAGGTCTCAGTTTTTGTTTCTACCTGTTGTTCTAGGAAGTTGAATCCAGGATAGTGAAGGCTTTGCAGCCGATACTTTCGCTTGATCCCACACCTGAACTGGATAGGCTCTCTGCCAGCCCTCTTCCCTCCCGAGTAATAAAAAATATCTGAATAAATATGATGTTTTGTTGGAGGAATGTATTAAGTTTTTTTATTATTAATTATTTGCAACTCATACTTGCAGCTAAATTTAAATCTGAGTAGCCTGCTGAAGAAACGGTTGAGGCAGATCGCAAATGTAACTGTGATGTCTACAAACAGGCTCCATGGGAAGAAAGTTTGCATAGATCGAGTCCCAGAAAGCTCCAACAGCAGATTTGCCGAGTCAGGTCATATGATGCAGCAGCATCATGTCAATGAAAATCTGACTGCTTCAAATCTCGGTACAAGCAGCATGCTAGGTGTGGGGGCAAGGAGCTTTCAAGATGGCAATGTTCAAGCAATACCTTTAGTTTCTCAACAACAAAGGTATCAAGCTGCAGCTGGAAATGCTAGGGGCATTCAGGATCACGGCTCAGCAGGGTCTCTTGTAAATATTTCTGCATCTTCCCCTGGCGGGCAAGAGATGATGGTCACTTATGGTGACAATATGAATGCCGGCGCTTCACTGCATGGTAAAAGAGAGAATCCAGATGGACAACAAACACCACAATTACCATATTTTAACAAGAGATCAAGGATGAATTCTATAGGTCCCAATGGGATACAACCGACACAAACGGATAACCTCCAAACATCTGATATGAGCTGGAGGACCTCGTTTCTTCAGCAGCAAGTAATGGCTAGAGGAATGCAGTACGCTAATCATGTCGGGATCCAAAAGTACCCACAAATGTTTGAAGGGGTCATCAATCAGAGATTCGGTGTGAAGGAAGAGCAGTTTGATCCTGACAAGCTGGATAGAGGACTAGAGCACAGTCAGGGTAATAAGAGTGATATGCAGATGGAAAGACTGCCCCAGCATATGATGAGACCGAATTTCCCTCCGGCAACAGCATGGAGCAATTTCAGCCAAGAGACAAGGAAGGAGGACCAGCAGGTTCCAAAGAGGAAATCTGCACAAAGTCCTCATGTGTCTGCAGGTAGGGGTGGCTAATGAGGTTTAGTTTTCCAGTTAACCGGTAACTGAAGTGGTAAAATAATCTTGGAAAGTCCTTTTGTTTTACAATGGCGGATTTTGGTTTTGGCTTCATGTTATTTTCATTTAATTGGAGGAAAAAGCAAAAGCAAAAATTGTAAGGATAAATAAAATTTTCAACAAAACCCACAAAGAAAGCATGAAAATCAGTTTATATTGGTCATTTAGTCCATATCGGATTTTTAGTGAACCACTCCTATCTGCAGGTGCTTTGGCTCAGTCTCCATTATCATCGAGATCTGGGGAATTCTCAAGTAACTCAGTTGGGCCTCACATTGGAGCAGTTTCTGCAGCGACTGCTGCTCTTGGTTCGTCGCAAAAGGATAAGTCGGTAGTTACCTCCACTCCTGGGAGGACGGCTTCTTTGAATTCCAGCGGTAATGACTCCTTGACACGTCTGCATCAGCAGCCTGCTCAAGTTGTGAGCAAAAGGAGGTCAAATTCTGTACCCAGGACCACTGTTGCTATGAGTGGAGTCGCCTCACCTGCAAGCGTTGGCAACATGAACGCGGCTAGTCCTATGGTTGGAGCAGCACAGATGGCTGATCAAGTCGTTCTCGAAAGATTTGCAAAGCTTGAGATGGTGGCTTCAAGGTACTGTTTACTTTGAAGGCTTCGTATTTGCTGGATTCAATAACTTGAGTCCATCACAAAATATTCTCCTGCTGCATTGACTGGGAAAATAAACTAATTGTCATTGGTCTCGGCTTATAAGATTAGGTTTGTCACTCAATTCGTTTACGAAAAGTTCTCCATGGTAACTTCTTCCAGGGACAAAAAGATAAAAATAAGAATAAAAGTTGTATTTCAGCTTTTAATGAGAAAATGAATGGAGTAACTAATAGAGCATCGATTATTTTGGTTCAGGGCTTTATTTACATCAGAACTGGTTTCATAGCAAAAGTTCGCATAGTTGAATGACATCTTTTCCGATTAGCCCTGCATGCATTGTTTTTCCCCATTGCCTGTATATCTATTCTGGGTTCAAAATGGTTCTTATGTTTACCACAGAACAGTTGGTGGTGCAATGTGAAAATCAATCTTGCTGCCCGCTCTCGAATTCCTCGGCTAATTTTACTCCTTGTGTTCCAGGCATAAGCTGCACTGTAAAAAGAACAAAGTGGATGACTACCCAAGGAAACAAAAAACATGTAATACTCAGCTTCTTGGGGCTTGCCTATCAAATCCATCCAATAACGAGGATTTCAAAGATGACTCTGAAGAAAAGCAATTATCAAATTCACTTGTTGGTGGCAGCAGGAATGCTCCCAAGATGAGAGTTATGAATTTTATGCTAGGTGAACGGGTGCTTCAAGGTTTGTTTCATGTTTTGCAAAATGAACTATGAAAAGATTTTGGTGAACCTTTTACTATGTATCAGCTATTTCATTCACCTCATTTTCTGCAGGAAATGTTGTTGCTTATGTCCCAAAAGCACGTGCTAGAATGGTCCTGATGGAGAAGTTGAATGATGGTACTGTGGCTATGCATTATGGAGACCTGGATGATGGCGATATTCTCTCTGCTGATGAGTATCTTCCCACCTTACCTAATACGGTAAGTCTGTTTGTTCATAAAGGGCTCTGTGTGCTTTCCTTTACAGCTTGCTGGCATCTTGAATTCCCATAACTGGTTCAGATTCTTGATCATCAACTGGTCATAAAATTTTATTGTCACTAAGCTCGAGATCCTCCCTACTAGTTGTTCTAAAATCCATTGCTTGGTTGATGGACTGTTATGATGGACTATGGTAAGTGGATTGTGTCCCCTAATTAATTTATAGGGTAAATTGGACTTATGAATTTCCAATTCTTGGGGTGTGCTATGATGTGCAAATCCATAAAGTTCTCTATCTGTAAGTCTACTGCTTTTCTTTGTAAGCCAAACAATGGATTTGGGACAATCTCTCTAGCCATAGATTTTGGACATAATCCATCAAGGTAAATCATCAGCCAAACAACCTATATATTTGGCCGAATTATTATTATATTGAGTGATTCTTTTCTTATTATTTTTCATCCCACCCGGTACTGCATAGGCGGTCTTCTTTTCATTTTTTATATATTCAATGCTCTGATCCTTATCTTGGTTCTCCTGCAGCATCACGCCGATTTGCTTGCAAAACAATTCTGTACATTGGTACGTAAGATCAACGTCTAGTTCAATGATCTTTCTACTCGTTTTTCCCGGTTATGGATTCTGAGGTGTTTCTTTCTTAATATATGCAGATGAGCCGTGATGGCTATCTCGTGGAGAATCACATTGAACAAAAACCAACAAGGATGATGAATATTCAGTAGTAGTCAACCGCCAGTTCTGACTGGCAACAATTCCACGCTGGAGATGCAGCACCACCAACAACAATAAAATGAAGCTATCGCTGCTCAGCAGGCCACCTCAAATGATGTGAAGCCGACTCTTAAAGGCAACAATGTTTCTTTAAATCCATCCCAGAATCCAAGAATGCTACCACCTGGGAACTCTCAGGCCTTACCGATATCTCAAGGTCCCTCATCTGGCGCCTCGCCATCTCGGCCACAGCAGCAACTTGACATTCCATTATCCGTTCAGCAGCAACAACAACAGCAACAACAAAACCAAAATGCTTTACTTAATCAACAGCAGCTTCAGAGGCCACAACAAATGGCGCTTCCATTGAATCCACTCTCCCATTTAAATGCTACTATGGGCCAGAACTCGAACAGCATGCAATTGGATGGTCATATGGTTAACAAACAACAGCAGGCGCAACAGCAGCAGATGCAGCAGAAAAAAATGATGATGGGACCGGGAGCGCATGTGGGAATGGGAAACAACATGGTGGGGCGCTAGGAAGTGCGATGTCAGTGGGTGTTGCAAAGGGGCTCGCAGGTCCTGGAATATCTGGAACGGTGAATATGGGTCAGAACCCGATTAACATTGGCCAGTCACAGCAGAACATCAACGCTATCCAGCAGCTTCGTTCGGGACAGTTGACTCAGCAACAAGCTGCTTACCAGAAGCTCAGAATAAATCAGCGGTCAGGTATTGCTGGAATGCCGGCAGGCGCTAGGCAGATGCCCCTCCCTAGTGCTGCTGCCGCGGCTGGGCTTTCCATGTTGAATCAGCCCATCAACATGGGCCACATGCTGCAGCAGCGGAGCGCAATGGGTCCTATGGGCCCGCCGAAGCTGATGGCTGGAATGAATATGTTCATGAACCAGCACCAGCAAAATCAACAGTTGCAGTTACAGCAGCAGCAGCAAAATCAGCAGTTGCAGCAGCAGCACCAGCCAGAATCGACCTCGTCGCTTCAGTCTCTTCAGGCTGTTGTTTCGCCTTCTCAAGTGGGCTCACCATCGACCATAGGCCTTCCGCAGCAGCAGCAACCCCTGCAGCATCCAAGCCCGCAGCAAATGGCCCGAACTCCAATGAGTCCACAGGTGAGCTCAGGGGCGATCCATGCCATGAGCGGCGGTAACCCAGATGGTTGCCCTGCCAGTCCGCAGTTGAGTTCCCAGACTGTTAACTCTATTGGAAGTATCACAAACTCGCCCATGGAGCTCCAAGGGGTAAACAAGAGCAATTCTGTTAACAATGTCTAGCTTGTGCTTGATCTCTACCGTAGTTTTAGTTGCAGCTTAATCAGAAACTTATTTGTGGTTTAATGACTCAAATTCTTAGTTTTTAGCTGCCGAGTGCCGACTAGCCTTCGTTTAGACTTCATGCTGCAAAGCTTCTGTTCCGTTTCACTTCACCCTTATGGAGTATGGACTATACATTGTGCATGAAAATCCACAACGGTTCAAATAGCTTTTACCACCCAATAAGAATGGATACCTGCCGTTTTAGAATGAAAGCTGAGATTAGTCTTCGAAGTTATCTTGGCTCAATTTAAGCTGAAGGAGCTATTATACTTTTTCCACGATGGATGAAATTCAGTGCAAACCCGAGTTTGGAATATGATACTGTAACACAAATACGATGAATTAGGATCTAGTTGGTGCTTATATAGACGGCACGACATAAATATTACGAGAACGAATAGTTTGCTACTATTGGTTCACATATCCAAAAAGAAATTATTGATCATCGACAAAATTGTGCCATAATAGTTAAGGCCAACTATTATCAATCAGAAAGAACTAGAATGATGGCAGAAAGCCAACAGCCTCAACTTTCTTATGAATCACAACAAAAGAACATGATGGATAATGAAGACCTCTGGTCTCTGTAGTATGCAATTAGAGCATTGATTGAAATCTGTCGCGCTCAGTCCTCACATGCTTCCTTGTGATATCCTTCAAACTCGTGCATCCTGCAAGCGCCATTGTCAGCTCAAACTCGTCCTTCAGCATTTGAATCACTTGCTTCACCCCTTGCTCTCCCTTTGCAGCCAACCCATATATGATTGGCCTTCCAACCTGTGTAGGATCATAAGATTAACAGCAATGTATTAGGAAGCTGAGCATGAACATGTCATTATGTGGTTTCCGAGTTCAAAAACCGGTTAAATTAATGCTTACCAGGACTGCTTGTGCACCCAATGCCAATGCCTTGAACACGTCTGTTCCTCTCCTCACTCCTCCATCAACAATTACTGGAATCTTCCCTTTGACAGCACGAACCACCTACATTTTGGCAACCAAGATTGTTGCTATATAGTCAATATACACTAGCATGTCTCACTTGGTCATAAATAGATCAAGCCATCACCTCTTCCACAACAGTGATCGTGGCGGGACTGTAGTCTAGCTGCCGAGCTCCATGATTAGAGACAACAACCCCTGCAGCACCTACTTCCACGGCCTTTAGAGCTGCCAAATGAGGGTTAATGAAGCATGTGAAAATGATGTTGCATGATCGTTTTAAAGATATTGCATTTCTGTCACAGTAAGTCAGTAAGTTTGATTTTTTTTACCATCTTCATGAGTGAGTATTCCCTTGAGCAGAATAGGCAAGCTTGTGATGGACTTCAGCCATGCCACATCCTGCCCAACAAAAAATTATGTGAAACTTTATATTGTGAAGGAAAACAAAGAAAATAAAATCAATGTTCCGACTGTAATATGTTTCTACACCTTCCAACTTAAAGTAGGATCGAACGTTGAATTCGCATAAGCTTCCAAGTTCGAGCCGCCACCCTACAGAAGTTAAATTCAATCATCCTATGATCCGGAAAATGAAAATAAGCAGAAACTAACCGAATCAAGAGTTTTTTTGTTGAAAGAAAAGAAAGCAGCTTTCTAATCTATGCATTACTGAAGGATCATCAAGCATCATAAAGAAAAGGGTTCTTCAGTTCAACATAATATACTTACAGCATCAACGTCATTCGATACAAAGCCTTCAACATTCTTCAGCTTTGGCACAATCATTCTGCAGAATTTACACACATTCACACTTGTAAAACTTCAAAACAACATTTCGAAATGATAAATTGGGAAAATTTGACCTAATGCACATGAAGTTTAACCAAATGGTAACTAGAATTAAGAATGTTACAAGCCCACCTGTTCCTAATGTCCGCCTCCCTACGACCGAGTCTTGGACAGTCAACTGTCAACACAATCGCCTTATATCCACTCCTTTCAGCTCTCTCCACCAAGTTGGCTGCTATGTGTCGTCCTCTATACACCTAATCACGTAAGAATCTATACTTGAGATCTTCAGTAAATGAATTGCGAGCTGGAATGGAAATATCTCGAGGAAGGGTACAAACATATAGTTGGAAGAAACGAACTGCATCGCAACTAGCAGCAACTTCCTCCACATTGTAACTGGAAGAAAATGACAGAATCTGGAACGGAAACCAACAAACAGTTGATGAAATGCTAGAAAGATCACGTGGGATAGTCAGTACATCGGTTTTTTCTTAGTACCATGATGGTGTTAGATGCAGCCGACGCTCTAGCTGTGGCTAGTTCACCTACAACACAACAGAAAGCCTGTAACTTTGAAATCTAAAAGACATATTAGAAAATGGGATATTGGAGAGAGTTTGTGAGACCTTCAGGGTTTGCGAGCTTGTGAAGAGCACTTGGCGCTACCATAATAGGCGACGAGATAGGATAACCTAGTATGCTAGTACTAGTATCTATTCTGCTCACATCCACCAAAACTCTTGGACGAATCCTGAAATAGGCAGGGAGAGATGATTAGCAATGGGTGTCATTGTGCTAATTTAAAGCATACATGTGATTCAGTATAGTTACGTGATTCGCTGATAAGCCTCCTCGTTGTCTTTGAGAGTGTACTCGTCCTCAGCTCCCCCAGCATAGAAGTCGAAGTACATTTTGGGAAGGGCTTTCTTAGCCAATGCTTCAAACTCGCTAACGTTAACTGGTTCGCTTGCCATTGTTTGGTCTGAAAACAATCAACAAAGAAACAGCCGGGGATCACCCGATTATCAATCCGAAACGGATGAAACAAGGCTATCCGATTCCTGATGTTAACAGTTCTATTAGCTATTTGTAGCTGATGCTAGACCTCAAGACCAAAAGATTCAAACTTTCTTCTTCTTTTTTTACTTGATTGGACAAACAGCTCAGAGTTCTACCACTAGATGAGAAACTAACAGAAGTAGGAATGATCAAACAAGCTGACGAAAACTGTACCACCTTTCTGCAGCATATAGACCTCTGCTGAATAATACCCAAATACCCACTCTATTCAAACTGAATAAGCTTCCAAACGTTAGCACCCAAGAGAGGAAGTTAAGCATATCAGTGGTTCCAAAACCATTTCCTTTCCATGCTCCAAAGAACTTAACTTTATAGAGTAAAAAGAAGTCAAACTAATGATTTTCATCGAACAATTGAGCTGCAACATACAGTAGGTCTTTTACACCGATGAACCAGTAAGCCAGCTAGAGTAACTACCTGAAGAAATGGTGAAAGCAATCCAAATGGTGAGAGTAGGCGAGCGAAGGAAGACACTCAAAGGGAAATAGAGAGAAGAGAAAAGGAAGGAGTGAAGTAGGTGGGAGTATTTTCGCCTCTCTGGGGTTAGATTTGCAGTTTTGTACTCATCTGTTTGTTTTGTTACTCATCTTGAATCCATTGCAAAGTTTCAATTTTTTTTTTTATATTTAGTTCCCAATTATATAATATTTTACTTATTTTTTATTAATCCATCACATAAATAAATAATAATAATAAAAAACACAATTCCTTACACTATCACGTTTTAAAAAAAAAAAGATTTTTGTATATGATTTGTGGTGGAGCTCGCACAAGATCTCTGTCTTATCTCTTGGCCTTGACCACATACAAATACGTAGCTTACTTGCCTTCCATTCTAAGCCAAATTTAGAAGAGGAAAAAATCAGTTCTACCGTGTATTATTGTAAACATTACATAATTGCTACCAAGCAACCAAAAAGGATGTGTTGTGAAGGAAACGAAGAACAGAAGATCGAGTTGCAAAATATGTAGTGAATTGTCCTGGAACCTTCCAACTCCAAGAAGTATCGAAGGTATCGTTAGAAATGACAAAATGAACCCACAATTTGCGTATTCTCCAAACTCAATATATTACGAGTCAAATCAAGTTTGACTAATATCACTTGTGGGTCGTACCTATACCCAACTATTTAGTTTAGGTTTAAATTAGATCCATTACATTAGCTACCCAAAACAAAATAAATACTCAACTCTTATGTGATTTGTTTTTTTTTTCATTTTTCTTAATTTTAAAACAAAAAGAAATGTGAAAACAACGTAAGGTGTGAATTGGTTTAAACCAAATAAATAGATGATCGATATTGCTTTTTTCGTATGTATAATAATATAGAACCAAATAGAGGACTGACCCGTGATCACCAGTGACCTCAATCACATTCTATTGCTTATTCACCTCCTTTCCAATAAACCACATAATATCCAGATAAGAGAAGCAGCCACAAGTTCACTACCAAAATGCAAGAAGTGGACAATAATATGATATACCGTAAAAGCATATATTGTTGCTTGGCTGCACCATAGCTCTCTTTCACAATTCTCCCAGCAACTGTCCGCTTGCCACAGGCGCAGTGATGCAAGTTTGCACCTAGAAATGACGTATACAAATTCATTTGGATCGAGCCTAATTGCTAATATTACAACTCAATTTAACACTTCTAAACAGTACTGATATTACTGAATGGACTGGTAGATTCTTTTAGCATTCAACTTAAGAAAGGCTCAATCAAACATTCTAAACATATAAAATCCTATCAATCAACAGCACACATGAAAGAAACGTGTTCATTTATGCATTGACATACATTTCTATTTTTGATGCTCAGCAGACGGAAAAGAAAACCACATCAAAGGTTGTAACCAAGCAAGATGCCTTCCAAAAAGCTGCTTCATTACTAATCCAACCAGGGGAACAAGGATAGTTGTTCTGCCTATTGTAACACCCATTTTACACTCAAACCCAGTAGATTAATGGTAGTGATGCCTTCCAAAAAGCTGCTTCATTACTAATCCAATCAGTCTCGTCCAGATCTCTGTAGCTGGACCCAAACTCCAACTCGCAGCAGTCGAAGTCGGATGAATCGGATTGCGATAGCTCGATGATGACCACATTAGTGTAGAGTCATGGTCCCTTTCATCTTCTTCTGCAACTTCTCCAGCAGCGCGATGAATGTGGGGAAATTGGAAGGGAAGAGGTTGCTATTGGCTATTGCTAACCCATGAACCCGGGAAGACCAGAGTTTTTGGCGGGAAATTACTTGGTGGGGGCAGTGGGTTTCATCTAAAGGCCCACTTCAATTGGTTGGTTTAGGCCTCATATAATAATCGGCCTGTACTTATGGACTAATTGGGCTTGGAGCCCGCTGGTGACTTGTTTCTTTGTGCTGCACCAAGTTTTCTTCTCAGCTAGGCTAGCTTGTGATACTTTGTTAGTTTTGTTTGGCTGTTGCTCAATGTAAGCGATGAAGATTGTTGTTCATGTTACTCCGCTTCAATGGTCATATTTGATTCTGTCTGAAGGAGAAACAGGAACTGGAATTGCAATGTGCATTGGCAGGGCATTGGCTCAGTCTGGTGCAATAAGAGAGGATGCGAACTACGTGAATGCTTCATGCATCATCGACTCGAACAGGCGACCTAACAGAATGCCAAACACTGATTCCATTGCTTTGGAGAAAACCCTCAGCTGAGAGTGAAAATCCTGACAAAGCAGTGCATGTCCAGAAACCGTTCTTGTGGAGTTACTGTGACAAGGGCTTTCTACCGGTTTCAGGACAAGGATACGATGGTTGTGAAGAGAAAGGAGAGGCTGGACATCAAAGTGGCATTATCCAATTTATTTGGTTTCGAAGCAAACTGACGAAAGCCATGCACGCAGACAGCCAGAAGCACATGAGATGTTCATATGAGCACATATAAAAGGGGAGGAAGATTCAGAAAATGAATCCACCCAGATTACTGCACGTCTGCACCTTTTCAATGGCTGCGAGCGTGCAACTGTAGAAATATGAACCAATAACGCATCACTATCACTAGTATATAAAACTACTTGAGCTCAGCACGGTGTGTACCCTTTTAAGTCTGTTCAACAAGGGTCTCTCTATTACACTATTCCTATGGGGTAATTGGTGAGGCATCTAAATAAACCAGAAAAATTCTGCCCTTGAACAAATATCCCAGGTGATTTACATGTCTCCATTTCCATTCTTTCTGTCTCTTGAGTTGGAAAATCACCAGCATGAACATAACCGAACCGATAGCAATGCGAGACACCCAGCATGTCTGTGCAAACAATTTCTGGATTTCAGGATCACCAGATCTTCGTTTTGACCCAAAAGAGGAGGAAAACGACTCCAAACACGATTGCAACTGGAGCCCATTTCCGAATCAACGCCTGCACCAAGAAACACATGTATCAGACAGGAAGTCGGCTTGAACAAGGGATGCTACTTTCAATAACTACATTGTTCATCAAGATACTTTGAAACCTCTACTTCTGATGAACGAAAGCAATCGGCTAATCCGCTCAAGCAAGAGAGAAATAGGACTCATTTTTCACTACGTAATTAGACAAGAGACTTTTGTGGTTCCTGGAATCCATAGGGTCAATAAATGTGCTCTCGATCTAGCAATCTTGGAAAATTGTTTTGATGAACTGTCACTAAACTCAAAAAGAAAGAAGAGAAAGAAAGCACACTCTCTTTGGTCACCCAAGAGTGGGATTGAATTAGCATTTTGGACTAGAACTTGGAAATAAAAGAAGAAATAGAATTCTCCTTCTCGCCGTTATTCAGTCTCATGGAACTAAACTCTTAGATGCAGCATGCGAAGCCTGAGCAAGGCCTAATCCTTCTTGCCCTCTTCCTGGGATAACTTGAATCAGGAAAGCAGGCGAAACTCCATTCCTAAATGGGAAGATTTCTAACTACTTAGAGGCGACGTGAATCTATGCTTTCTGCCATGTCAGCGCGTTTCTGTCCAATCGCTACATGAATGTTTACTTCACGAAATGACTTTCCGGAAAAGAGCTATTCTGAGCTATCAAATTCTACTGGTTTAGCGACTCGTTATGGTTCAGCATCATCGAGAGAAAGATCGTGTAGTAGGGAATAATCCGGAGAAACATACCTGTCTGTTCAAATCTCTAGCCTTGTCAGCGTATATTCGAGATTCTGATGTTAGTCGGCTGGACATTTCACTCACCTCTGCAATGTGACCAAATATACATCAGACTGTGTCAATTTGGTTTGGTTTGGTTAACCAAACCATTAAGTATGAAAAACCAAAAACCAAAAATCAAATCCCAAAAACCAAAACCAAAATCATTAAGGCCCTTATTGGTTTTTGGCAACCAAAAACCAACAAGGGCCTTAATGGTTTTGGTTTTGGTTTGGATAACCAAAAAACCAACATGTACTCATACACTCATATTTATTCCTATTTCCCTCCTTTTTATTGAATAAATGTCATAATAATGGTAAATGGCCATAACAAATTATTGGTTGGCATGCGTGTCAAAAGAAACAAAAAAAAAAATATTTGTTGATAAATAATTTTATTCTTATTGGTTTCTTAATGGTTTCTATTGGTTTTTCGGTTTTAACCAAACCAAAACCATTAAGTTGCTTATTGGTCTAAAACCAAAAAACTGAAACCATTAGCTTTCCAATTGGTTTGGTTTCGGTTAAAACCAAAAAACCAAAACCAAATGGACAGCCCTACATCAGAGTGGTCCTCTACAGCACGTCAAGTTAGAGGACTTAACAGTCATCAAATGCAGTAAGATTCTTTCCCTCACCACAACACCAAAATACAAGTACATGGTTATCATACAGATAAAGCACAAAATTTCGGTTTCCATGGGACTGCTTGTAAACAGAAATAATAGCACGCAAGAACTCAGGAAACTCACGGTCAAGCTTTTCACCAACCCCAAGAACTTCCTGCACATTACGAGTCATAATCTGATGGACTTCATACAGTTCATCGTTCAACTTTGCAATGTTCCTCTGGGTATGTGTGTCCTGGTACAGTTTCTTTGTTCTCTGGATAAAAGTATCTGCAGGAGCAGCACATAAATCATTTTTCAACAGAAGGACAGAGCAGATGCAAAACTTGCAGAAATAAGGTTAAGAGGGCTCACCAAACTTGATAAACGCATAGGGTCTGGCAGCAGTTTCGATTTGAGGCCCATTGACACGCTCAAATTCATTTTTCAAGTCTTCAAGATATTGAAAGGCAAGTTTCTTCGGATACGCACGGTCACACATTGTAAGGTAGCATACTCGTCCCTCGATGATATAACTATGCCATCAGGTCAAGGAAAGTGCAAGCAAAGAATCACTTCAAACAAAGAAAATACAACATCACGCCACAAGTAAGAACTCAAAGGAACTTCAAAGCATGCATGCATATATTGAACTGTATAAACATACTCCAAACAAACAACAAAACTACCCACCAATAAGAGCTGATGTATAACCCTGAGCAAATGCACAAAAGCAACACCGAAGTTTGTCACTTCAACTATCACCAAGCAGTCAAAAGTTCAGGCTTCTCTAAACTATTTACATGGATATAATGAAAAGGAAGTTACTTCACCAGTCTGTTTCTTTACAAACTTGATGCCATTTGAAAAAGGTGATGTCTATCTAGCTTCTAAAATTCATGTACCTAGGTTAATCCAATAAATAAATCAAGCTAATTCTATTAAAAAAAAAAAAACAGGTTCAAACATAACAGTCAGAACACACTATTTGAATAGACAGCTTACCTGTTGCCAATATCATTTGCTAAGTGAGCAGTAGGATCCTGGAATAACAACTACATGTCTTAAAAAATGTACCAATGCCAAATCTATAATAAATCTAGCAAATTCATAAGCCTAGCAGCAAGAACACATTATAGACAACTTCATGTTGCCAATATCATTAGCAATAAGTGAGCAATAGGATACTGGAAGACATAAGGACCAGTCTCGACAGACATCCTTGAAGGATCATTCGGGCGGTTGGCAAGATTCTTGAACAAGGCCTTGACTTGCTGTTTGTACAATTCAACATCTTTGACTTCACGGCCATCGTCCAGACCTTCAGCCAGCGGGAGCCCATCAGTAACACGCGCTATCATGGTCAGCTTCACCATCTTCTAGCTATTACTTCCTCAGATATGTCTGATACACTACAATGCATCAAGCACCAAAACGTAGACACTGTTAAGCTCTCTCTGCCATGTAGGCTTGTACTCGATCGAGACGAAAAAACGCATAGCAAAACAGCAGCAAAGTTCTAGACAAAGCTTTCATGCAAGGCATCATTTTCACCAAACAGAACTAGAATCACAAGAAGCCAGAGCAAAAAATTCGAGAGAACAGCTCAAATACTTCATCACTCAAGAACCCAGACAAAGTTTCAGAGGCATCGATTACCAGGTATCCCAATAACAGGGAGCAGAAGCAAGTAATGAAAATTTCTTGACCCTAATAAGCAGATTTCTGAGTAAGACTGTCAGACAATGTCGATCGATAAAGGAAAAGCATCAGCAAGAAATGGAATCCATCGATTTGAAAATCAGGGAAACGGATAGAAAGATCAAGCGCCGTGCTCGGAGATAATTAGAAATCCGATCGAGAGAGGGAAAGAGAGATAGAAAAGTAGAAGCTTTACCAGATTATATAGCTTGGGGATTCTCCCGGCTACAAAGCAACGACGATCTGAGAAGTTGGCCGGACTTGATGGTGAAGTCGAATCTACGAGGAGATTTTGATAGATCGACGAACAATGAAGCCGATTTTGGGGGAAAAACAAAGTGGACAAAAGAAAAACAAAAAGAACAAAGGGGATGGAAGTTAAAATTAAAATTACTCGACTCGGTTGCTCGCGCGGCGCGGGTAACAAAGGAAAGGACTAAGCTAAGTAGTAAGCACTTTGGCCGTGCTTCGTCCGGTATCGCACGGGTATGCTTTGGGACTATTTATTTAGTGTCGTATTTGGCACGGCTCGTTAGTTTTCGGATCGTGTCTTATCAGCTCATTTGTTAATTTTGTTAGGCCCGATTCAGAGTTGGGCACATTTTGAATCGTGTTGTGTTTATTCGTACTCGTGCCGTGTTTATATTCGTGTTTAATGAAAATGAAGAAAATAAAAGAGGGAATGAAAAAGAAGGAACAAATTGGACGGAGAATGAAAGTATTAACCGAGAATGTAACAAATGTAACAAATAAGGGTGAAAGAAAATTGAAATAGCGGGTGTAATTTGACTTTGTTTAATATTTCGTCTATTTTTACTTATGGTAGTAATTACGTATACATATTTATGTTCACTTCTAATAGCAGTAGATCATTTTTATTGTACTTGTATTTTTTAAGATTTGGACCTATGATCCTTTTTATATTTATTTTTTATCAAATAAATATTTTTTTATGCCAAGTTCGTTCTTATACTCAATAGGGTCTCAAAAATATTAGGCCCGACACGACCCATTTACATACCGTGTCGTGCTCGTGCCCATGAAGTTTAGGCCTGACACGACCCATAAATTTTTCATGCTCGTGCCGGGCCGGCCCATTTTGTGTTTGTGCTCGTGTCGTGCGCTAACCGTGCTGCGTCGTGCTAGCCCATGGGCGGCCTGGCCCGTTGCCCATGTACAGTAAGGGCTAACGACTAACGAAGGAGAGATAAGGTTATCAAACCCTTATCTGGCCGGTCGATTATTGGATCCAACCAGAATCGACTATCTAAACTTTTGGAATACACTCTGATTGAACAGTTTTTGGAAAATTTAAAAAAGGATAAACCAGTCAAAACTGGTGTTAAGGAAAATGATAACTTTTCATCTTGGGTAGATAGGATTAGTTCAACTGAATTGGTTATATAGGATTAGGAGTAAACCTTGTATTAGTTAGTTGAGTTGTATTAGTATAAATAGGCAGATTGAGTAACTGAAACTGTTAACGATTTCATTTCATTCTTTCTTAGTAAATCAAGCTTTCAGGATCAATTCCATTACAACTTGGTATCAGAGCCTAAAGGGTAATCTTGATTCTTTTCTTCAGCTTCGCAATTTTTCTTTCCTTTGAGAATCTCCTATGACGTTTGCCAATCAGACCTCCACTTCCGCCTCTCATCCGCCTCCGCCTTAGATTCCATCAATTCCTCATGCAGGTGATCTAGGTCCGAGCAGCTCGTTCATCATCCACCCTGCTGAGAGCTTGTCCCACCAACTGGTTTCTCATGTGCTAGATGAGATCAACTACTCGACTTGGGAATGAGCAATAGTGTGCGCGCTTTCTACAAAAAACAAACTCCAGTTTCTTAATAGCATCATCGTCAAGCCTACTCCCGGCGATCCTCTCTTTCGTGCATGGTCAAGAAACAATACCCTTCTCCTCGGATGGATTCTCCGATCCGTTTCTCCATCAATTGCTCAAGAATTCCAGTGGTTCGAAGATGCCCTGCTAGTCTGGAATGAATTGCGAACGCTTCTCTCGCGGCAACAACTTTCGCATCGCCGAGCTTCAGGAAGACCTCTTCTATACAAATAAGGATCCCCAGTCTGTAAGTGCATACTTCACTCAAATGACGACATGGATGCATGAGCTATACAATTTCTTACCAATTCCTCCCTATAGATGCAATGGAATATGCAATTGTGATTTAGCCATTGTTAGAAAAAATCATCAAGTGGATTACGTGCTTAGGTTTGTTAGGGGACTGAACGATTCCTCTGTTGCTGCAAAATCACAAATCATGATTATGAAGCCTATGCCTAGTTTGAATCAAGCTTTTGCTATGATCATCAAGCAAGAAAAAAAAATCTGTTTTAGTCTCATCTTCCTTACCCGATGTCATGGCCATTTACTATAGAGGAACCCCACATCCTAGTAGAAATCCCACTTTGTATCCTTCTCATAGACCTCCATATCGCAATCCTTCTAACAAACCACTACAACAAGTCCAGCAAGATGGGAATCGTCCTTATTGTGTTCACTGTGGCCTTTATGGACATTTGATAGAGAAGTGCTTCAAGCTTCATGGTTATCCCCAGACCACAAACCCCGATCCAAAGCTCACAGTGTTGCCTCAAAAGACAATGTTGATGATATTACAGATCTACCTGTTGTTGGTTCTTTACCTTTCCAGTCTCAAGAATGGACAACAATCCAAAAAACCTATCAGAAGATGGCCCAGTTTATGCATCAACGACAAAATCAACATTTTCAACCTTTTGCTCCATCACCATACACTGACCTGCCCACCTACACTCAACAATCTTATTCGTCTGACTTTCCAGCTCCTCATGACTAGCCTTCCACAAGCCAAGTCTGCTCCATCTGAACACAAGTTAATCCCACCCCTACAGACCAACATACTCTTTCCTAATATACTTGTATGTTAGCGAATCATTCACCTAAGTGGATTTTAGACACATGGGCAACCAATCATATTGTTTGTTCCCTTAAGTTTCTTACAAACTATAAGACTGTTTAGAACATGTTTGTTCACCTCCCTAATGGAGACAGAGCATTAGTAACCCACATAGGACAATCTCATTATTTCGACACTCTACACTTACTAGATGTTATGCTTGTACCTAGCTTCTCTTTCAACTTAGTTTCAGTAAGTAAGATAGCATCCAAGACTCCTCTTGGACTGAATTTTTTTGGTTCTCATTGCTTGATACAGGACCTCCAGTCCTCGAGGATGATTGGTACAGCTAAACTCTCCAATGGTCTGTACCAAATGGATCCCCTTGCTGATACACTATCACTTACACACCATCTTTTCCCACCCAAACCATCTCATTGTCTTTCCATTTCCACTTTGACCTATGGCATTATCGATTAGTACACATATCCTACAGTAAACTTCCTCTATTACATTCTATAGACTCATCCATCAGTATGAATAAAGATCTTCATTGTTCTGTTTGTCCTTGTGCTAAGCAAAAGCGACTCCCTTTTCCCTTAAGTCAATGTCATTCTTCTTATAGGTTTGATCTCCTCCATATTGACATTTGGGGAGCAACTTCTGTAAGTTCAATATCTGGTCATAGATACTTCCTCTCAGTAGTTGATGATTTCTCGTGACATACATAGATTTTCATTATGAAAACTAAGTCTAAAGTCAGACCTCTTTTGCATGCCTTTTACACCTTCATTCTCACCCAATTGAACAAGAAAAATCTAAGTTCATAAGGACTAATAGTTAGAGGTGGAAATCGGTACGGTATCGGTATCTCAATACCAAATACTGAAATTCCAAATACCGAATTACAGCCTAAAATCAATCATAATCTCAATCCTTAATTAATTTCGGTATCCCAATCCCTAAATATTTCGGTATCCCAATCGGTACTTCGGTATCCCAATCAGTATTAACCAATATAAAATTAATTGTCTTTGCAATTAATAATTAACTATATAAATGAGATTTGATTGTTTAGTTTAGGGAAAAGAGACTAAGCAAAGAGTCTTGAGTTTTCCTAGAGCTAGGATATGGATAAGGAGAATGGAGAGATGTGACATTTCAAATTCTTGTCATTGGTAATTTTTAATTTGACAAATTGGAGGTCGAGAGACGACTAATACTAGTAAGTGTTTTCTTTTTAGTGTTATGAAAATAGCAAGAGATAAGGTAATAGACGAGAGTGACTTAAACTGAAAAGTCAAAGTTTAGTTGGATGAGGACTTCTAAGTTGTGAAAGAGTGAGGAATGACCAAAGGTTGTGTGCTATATTTCATTAGTTTTTATTTCGATATTTCTAGGTATTTCGGTATACCGATCCCAATCGCGTAATCCCGAATATCGAATAGCACTCCAAGATGAATCTCAATCTCAATCCCTAGAAAATAAGTCGGTATTCGGTAATACAAAAAAGTGATAGGTTCGGTACGATATTTGGTATATCCCAAATATCGGTATTAAACTTCCAGGCCTACTAATAATGGCCAGAAATTTCCTATAATATGTACTTGTAAGTCTTGTCTATTGGATCCTACCAACAGACAAAGAGAACACATTACCACTAGCTTTCTAATGTGGATGTAAACACCATTAACATAAGGCTACAAACTACTCTTGCACAGATGACACACAATCATCAACTTTCAGAACTCAACCTTTCAAGAATTCAAGCTCCCCCATTTTTCACTCCTTCTTCCAAGGTCCACCACTTTTCTCTCTTTTCTCTTGTGAGTTCTGCATAGCGAGCTGCTGGCCGTAACAAATGCTTCTCTAAAAGTGAGTACCAATCCTTAGTCAGAGAATAATAACTGCTAACGAAAATTGGTGCAATATTTAAGGCGACAAGTGTAAGTAACACATACCGGTATAAATATCTCTACATATCTTTCATCCACATCTACTAATGAAACTGCTTATCGTGAAGACTCAATTACCTCTGGAGTTTTTTCTTCTCGATGACTCGCCATCAGTACATTTGTTATCGAATTTTCTCTTGAAGATGAATACTTCATGATTGTCAATGAACCATAGTGTACATGTCACTACACTTTGGTATGTATGAATGATCTCAGGCGCCGTGTGATAAATTCTCTTACAAATCAGTAACTCATTCACTCCTTCAAATGTTATATAGAATATGTAACACCCAGCACACTCGGTGGTGACGTTCACAATCCTAAGCAAAGTTAACTTTTGCTTCTGCAAACATTTTGTACCCAACATATAAGAGAATAGATACTAACGAAACAAAAGAATAGATTAATGTACTAACGTACAAGCCTTCCAAAGAAAGAAAAGCAGATTTAGTTGATTACATTCACTGATTGCGTATTTCACGGACCCATTAACCATATTATTGAAACCCACAACAAAGCGATAATGGTATGGCTGGAAAATACCACCGAAAGTAAGATAGCTCGGATGACAATCAACATCAAATGCAATTTGAATGTAAATTGTTACATATTATGCTGACGTTGTTTTGCTTAATATGTTGAAAAAGAACTCTTCAATATTAAAAGTTAAGTAAAGGTAGAGATCAAAAGATTGATGAAATAATACTGTTTCAAAATCTCATTTCTAGTAATCCAATAGTTTCTACCAATTAAAACATATTTAGAACTATAGACATTCCTACGGAAAGATTTTAAATATGACTTCGATTTGGTGTCGAAGTCTACCAATTAGATAAAAAGGAGAAGGAGATCCGAAAAGACCAACATTTAAATGGAAGTGTTCTATTTGATATGTTGAACACATGTTTGAAAGGGCAGTGTTCGTATATTTTGTTAATAATGTTTTCTCATATTTTATCATTCTAGTGGTGCATATTACTCTCATTTCTAGCAAATAGCAATCGCACATATTCTTGGCATTCTAAACAAACTCTCTATCCAATTGTCTTCCATAAATGCTTCCAAATATTACGGGGAAAAAAAACAAACAGAACAAGCATTGCATTGATTTTTTGGATGTTATGTTGTTGGTTGAAACTGATATGTTTTCTGTTTTGTTTTAGCAATCTGTTGGGCTATTTTCGTTTGAATAGTACTAGAAAGATGCTTTACTATAATTCTTAATGACAGCGGCTATCGAATCAAGACTTCAGTACAAAAACTATTGGATGCAAAACTTATTTATGAAAAAAATGCAAAACTACCGGTGAGAGTGATCAATGTGTTTTAGAGACCAAGTGTTCTCAGCTTTTTTGATATGGGAATTATGATAAATATATCGGCAAAAACACGATTAAGAAATGAGATGTCAAAAATTGTAGAAGTGAGTTGTTTATATCCACACATCTATTTACTATTAGTTTAATTGTTTTCTAACTATGTCCTCTAACACACCTCTGCCCAATTTTTTTGTGAGAGACCCTAATTTGTCAGTACTAAAACTCAAGCCATAAACATTTGACATAAATATGATTAATTGTATTCAATACACCTTTATTATGTTTAAAATTTTTATTGTTATACGTTATTAAGAAATGAGTTATATATAGCATTATAAAGGAAAAACCAAGATCTTATTAATACTTTGCACTAATTACATGCTCGAATAAGAGATTACAATAGTCGAGAGATGAAGGATGAAAGATGATGACCTCTAGTTTATGATGTGATTTCATTAAGCACTAAGAAACAAATTGATGTTCCTAATATGGATGACTTGTTTACTTTTGGTGGAAGAACAAGACGTAGCAACCCTTATCAGCCCACAACCTTGTTTTTATTATTTCAATACAATCAATCTAGTCTTAATTGAAATTCTAAAATCTCAATGAGTGATGAGTTCCTTGAACCAGCCCATTCCTTTATTACTGATCGAACCTAAACCAAAATTTTTAGTGTTACATATATACGAAATAGAGACTTAGATACAAAAAAGAACTCAATTTATATTCTACATCTCAGGTCTTAATCACCTTCAAAAATATTAATCCATAAAATATCTTCAATCATACTTACAAACTTACTTATCTATCATCAATTTATTGTTTTTGTTTTGAAAATTGTACGAACTACTTAGTCTATAAGCGACCTTTCATTTTTCAAAGTCTATATTTTCTTCCTATATTCCATTTCTTTCTTCTATGGTTGCCATTGTTTTTCATTTTCTTCAAATAGTCTTTTGAAATTTATCATAAAATGAATATGTTTCTAGCCGTAAATTATCTAAGCTTAATGGTTAAAAGAATACAAATAAGAAATATGAATATACAATCATGAGAAATTAAGATGAACCGGGACATCATATTGAGTTGATTTATAATATAAGAAATGATAAAGGTCAGACTTTAGGCACGAAGAAGCACAAAGACCCCTCAACCAACAATTGGACTACTATAAAGAACATGAGAAAGAATCTCTTTAAGACAGATATGGAAGACCAAAGCAAAGGATGTGAGTCTGTATTGCCATGATTTTTTTTTATGTTATGTTATTGTTTGAAACTACTTGGTTCTTTTTTATTTTATTTTAGTCATCTGTTGGGCTTTTTCTGTTTGTACAGTATTGAAAGTATGTTTCAACTTAAGTCTACATAGCAGCAGGTTTAGGGACAAGGTTTTAATGTAAGAGCTATTGTATCATGCTATAAAAACCAATCCAAAAAATAATACAAAGCTACATGTGAGAGTGATTAATTAATGTGTGGCGACAAATCAAGAGTTTTCACCTCTCTCAATATTGAGATTATGATAAATGTATCGGTAAACCACAGTTAAGTAATCGTATATAAAAAAATGAGAGATGTGAGTTATTTATATCCATAAAATATATTTACTACTAGCTTCATTGTTTTTCCTTAAACAAATGTTAGTACTGATTGTCGTTGTTTTTTTGTTATTTGATGGATTTTGCCTTGAGATTCTTGATTTTGAGGAGATGGACAAGATGACTACAAAGATGGTAAGATAGTGAAAATTAAAGATAATGACATTGAGAAGTTACTGGATCAGCACCTAGTGGTGGGTTTAGTGGAAATGTATATAGGGGGCAGATGTAAGTGTAAGGTAGGTGTGTCGTTCGACACACATTTGCCCAAACTTTTTGTGAGGTAACCTAGTTTCATCAGTATAAAAAATTTGAACATAGATTAATTAATCAGTTACAATAATTGTATTCAACACATCTTAATTATGTCTAAATAAATTGCTTTTAGTACAATTTAAAAACATAAAATCCATTAATAAATAAACCCACAACCTCCCCACTGTAACATTCTGTTTCATCTCTGTTCATTAAACAAAATAGAAACGAAAATAATCTCATGGTTAAAAAATAGAAACGACCCAAATGCAAACTTTTGAATTTGTCTTTCACATAAACTTGATGATTGAAATGCTTGGAATTACAAATTATATATAGCATTACAAACAAAAGACCAAGTCCTTGTTAATACTATGGAATTAATTAATTGCTCGAATAAGATATTGTAAGAGGTGAGAGATGCAGGATGAGAACCTCTACTTTATGATTTGATTTCATTTTGTATTAAGAAACATATTTATGTTTCTAACATGGATTAATGGTTTATTCTTGCTAAAGAACAAGATGTAGCAAACCTCATTGGCTCACAAACTGGCATCACTATCAAGTTGATTTTTTTTATGTAGTCATTGATGTACTCGAGTTTTCAAAAAAAATTAAGATTTGATCTATATAATGTGTACTACATAATTAAAATATTTACTTTCATTTGATATATAGGTAAATTTTTGGATAATGCATACTTGGTTGGTCATGGGTTCGAACCTCTTTTGTTTATTACAAATGTTTTGTGTGCTTATTTATTTAAACTCAAGTTTGTCCATTTAACTCACCAATTTATTTATATTAACTTGATTGAAATGTTAGTTTAGTCTCTCAAATTCAATATTTTTATCATTTTAGTTCTTGAACTTCAAGTGTGTCAATTTAACTCCATTATATGAAAATTTGTGATTTTTTTCTCATGAGTCTTTGGGAATACTTGTAAATTTAGTCTTTAAACATGAATTTAACTCCAATAACACAAGAAATTATGTTCCATGAGACGATTTGGAATTGAATGGTTAAAAAAGTGGGCAACATCATTTTTCTGGAACGAGGCCTCTGGTATCGGTTGGATGACCATGATCTTAAACAACGACATCCTCACGCAATTTCAAGTGCGGTCCCTACCTTCACTTCAACAACTTCATCAATTATTGGGTTTGGAATGAAATGATGATTGTTGTTGTAAAAAAAAAAAAAACTTCATCAATTATTTCATTCCATATTATCATTATCATACTATTTACATCAATGCTATCCACATGCAATTACAATTTTGGGCCCTAATTATTTTTTAATACAACTCAATGTTCATATGAATTATACGTACACATTCTTTGATTGTATAATTATTATAATAATTATATTGATAATAAACCATATATCAACTATATAAACACTTTTAATATATCAACTATATCAACTATATAAACACCTTTAAGTGTCATCCAAAAAATGATACACATTGAAAATCATATACAAAATGAAAGGAAGAGATAAATAAAAAATTATCTGAAAATGAAAGCAATAGGTATTTGAATGGAGAAAATTATCTTTCATAGAAGCTACTCCTTTATATGTTTGAGAGAATAATGAACTTATATGAGAAGTTTGATTGTGTTTTTAAATGTAGAAAACGGAAGGAACAATCAATATAAACCAAATGAAAATGAATAATATTGGCCCACTTGTGCAAATTTGCATTCCATGAAATCCTCCCACATCAATGCACTTCCATTTTGCAATTGCAAAGTGCAATCCACGTCACGTAGCAAGTGAGAAATTTGCACCAATGTTGATGCTCTTATTGAGTTTTATCCTTATAAATTCTCATTTCATGTGGTCACACTTATTGTCTTTTACTTGCTTTTGAAGTTAGTGCTCACATTCCTTGTTGCAACAGCAAGGTGCGAAATGACCAATTCAACTATAAAGTTCATCAAGAATGATCTTCTAAATCAGTTGAGTGACCATTTTATAAATCATTGCTTAGTAGTTTATACGCAAAAAGTTTTGATTTGCAACATAAGTGACAATTGTAGTTTACACATATTAGAATATGAAAAGTCATCGTGATTGGTTGTAAAAACAATGACATTCTGACATTCATGAATTAATATTTTTATTTATATAATATTTTTGTTTAATATATGATTTTTATCGGCTGACACACTTCTTCAAGAATTCTCGGTCCGCCACTGGGTGTACCCTTCCCTTAAAAAACTGAACGGCTAAACGTCTCCTAACTTAAAATATAAAATTACTAAACTAACCTTAATGAACCGAACGATAATCAATATAGCAAACGACCCCTAGAATTCCCAATCCTCCGTCTTCCATCGAAAGTGGTGTTAACCCTCCTCTCCTATGTAAGAGATTTATAAACGATTTGTGGCTCTGTCCTACTGCCATTGTACTCCTCCGAGGTGGCGATTCCTCCTCTGTCCTTCCGTTCAAGCTCTTTCTAGGTAACCAAGAAACCTTTCAATGGAATTGTGGGGGGTGAGAAGCAGAGATTTCATGAGGAAACCGTGTACTACTTGTCCTTGATATATAATCATTGAAAAATGTAGAACAGTTGGAGCGACTTTGTATGAGAAAGAGGAAACTAACCCTTTAGTCTTCCTTGTATATCCTCTTCCAATCGAGACTGGAGGGTTAATCCTTTCTTTACAACTTCATTAGAAGCAAATACATTATATCACCCTCCTTGTTAGAAGACGTATTCCAAGTAGTGGAATTATGGAGGGCATTCTTAGTTAGAGGTAAACCAGATACATACATATTAGCGTAGTGGCGACTGAAAGTTGGTCGGAGAGGTAGTTAGGACTGGATTGTATTTTTTATAATAAATATTATCTTAATAATTATAAAATTGAAAGGGTAAAGAAATAATTTTGATTTTTAAGTCACAACGATTACCCTAAAAATTAAAGCGACAATTAGCAATCCCCTCTTTAAGAAATGGTTAGGAGTAAAGTCTGAGTACTTAATTCTTTATTTTTACGAACTTTTAATATCTTAACATGCATGCTATTTATATTTGATCTTAATATTTTTATTTATTTACTTCACAAGATAATATTTTTATGGTTCCCATGCGAAAAGAGAATAATATCCCCCCCTCCAATGGCATTCTTCATCATGCAATCACGATTGGCGATCAGTATCCACAAGACAGGAGAAGACGATATTGATTACTTCATCAAAAAAACTCTACAGGAAAACAATGGGGGGAGTGAGGGTTACGGTAGGGTGATCTGCGACCACAAGAGTAAACCCTTTGTTATTAAGTCCTACTCCTAACCCAAACTCGACATTTCAATTTTTTTTTCTGCGGACGAAGAAAAGATACGAAGAACATAAAAATTTTGAATTGGTAGTACATCTTTCCTAGTGGTTAGTGGAGATTGTTCTTTTCTCGACTTAGCTTATGTCTGTATTTTCTATTTGCTCCTTCCTTCTATCGGTTTAATGGAAGTCATATTTATATCCCTACATGAAGCGAGCTAGTGGATACAATGAATATATTTTGCTTCTATTGTTTAGTATTATTATTAATAGTTAATATTTGCGTATGAGTAGCTAAGTTCAATGATCATGTGTCTTTCTTTTATTCGCTAGAATTATATAGCTTTTGTCCTTTATCCAAACTAGCTTTATATCCGCCCGTTGGGCGATAAATTTTGACTGGTTATTATATTTTTCGTCCTAGTATTATAATTTTATTTATGATTCAGTATGTGAAACTATTATACATTGAATTGTAATCTCACTTACCAAATTTCATATATTCTTTCACATTTTTATATCTTTCATTTATTTATGAAAATTTAATTTTATTAAATGAGCTATCTATAGTACTTTCTTTATTGATTTATAATTATCAATCGAATCCACCATTTAAGATATAAACTAAGAGATTATTAATTTTTTAGCACACAAAGTGACAAAGAAGTTTCTACCCAAAAAAAAAGTGACAAAGAAGTTAAAATTTTGAAGGATACAAAAGAAGAAGTTAAAATTTGCAAATATATTTCAATTGATAAAAAGAAGTGAAGAGCTTTCATTTTCTCACCCTTCTCCTCGTACGTTGGTATATGATAATAGAGAATATCGCGATCAGATCCCACAAATATCGTGCAGTATCAGTTACTCGTGTAATTTTGGAAGAATGAGAAACCACATTGGCATCCCCATCATCAATCTTCCGCTTATTCGTTTAATTTACCTTGAAAATATTCAAGCAAAACCAACCACAAATAAAACTATTTTTTGTCACTAATTTATTAAAACTATATTTTCAGTAAACTAAACAACATATAATCATAATTTATATTTTGTAGAGAGCTACATACCCCCTACCAAAAGGATCATGTTTTTTCTACCTAATAACAACATAGATGAATAGTAAAAGTTGTATACTTCAATAAAACTCAAGTCATTATATCTTGCAGAGTCCCCATTGTGAATCGGATTGATGCATCAATCTAAAGAGTAGTTGTTATGAAAACAATCAGGCCAAAATCAAGCTTTAGTTAGGGATTCAATTAGGCAAAATTCACGCTAAGGAAAAAAAACCAATGTCATTACAAACGTCTAGAAATTGGTGAAAATATCAACATTTACTACCATTTTATTTCTTCTTCGTGCCCTTTATAAAACCCCAAATATGTTCCCTCCTACTTATAACCCCATGCTACATACTATTTACTTGATCAAATCATCGTCATATAGCTAGCTAGTATCATGTCACTCATGAACATAATAAACATAATGAACAACCCTCACAAGTCTGCTTTCCATTTTAACATCCAAGGAATCGAGTTGCAATGGGCCTCCAAGGAAAACGATCAATTATTCAACCAAAGGAGAGATGCTCCAAGTCCAAGCAACAAACCCTTTGAATTATATGTTAAATGTTTAC